CTCACAAAGTTTCTGAAGTAGTTTCCAATCGCAATCAGCTGTGTCAACTTTCCTCGAAATTCAAAGAACTCTTCAATAGATCGATCAACATTGATAATCTTCTCTTCCAGTTCCACTTCTGCACAATGACATAGCTTTTCCAAGTCACTCTTCACCTCGCCTAGCAAGTACTCAAACAACTGCCTCTTAACACACTCATGCTTGGGTATAAAGTAACCATACACATAGATCCACTGCAGCACCGGTCTGCATTCGATAATCTCTTGCCGGGCCTCCACAACAAAATCAAGAACAGGATTCGTTTGTATGTATTTCACACTGAGCTTCTTCAAATGAACATCTTGCACAAGGTGATGAAAATCTTCAACAACTATTTTCTTGTACATGCGATTATATACCCAAACGTTCATAATTACGAACAAATCTGTTATAAGACATCTTCGACATCTCCAAAGATATGTTTACCATTTCTTTCTTTCTCCTCCTATGCTCACTCTCCACCCCCTCCAGGAAACCATTACCAAAATAATTAAGACCATGCCAGTTCCACCATTCGAGGCATGTCCAGCAAAATTCGAATCCACAAGGAGCGCTGCATGTCATATGGTTACATCCTTGGTTTGCATTTTCGATATTTCGCTTGCACTTTGGACAAGGCTTAATGTTTGCAAGAATCGAATCTACATTCAGAATTCAATCTACACCTTCAGAATCATCCTCGTTCTTCAGCATCATCCACTTTGCACTGTATCGCAGTTCACCGGACTGTGACCTTCCTCGTGACAATTTGAACAAAATCTGTAAGAGCATAGGCAAGAAACATCACTAGTTCCGTAGCCACCAATAAAGTCTACAGCATAGTCACCAACCATGAGAAGGCACCACTTTCTCTTCCCCTTACTATCTTCCACATAAGACCTCAAAAGGTACTGAGAATACTTGGCCTTATCGGGTCATTATTGGCTTTGGTTGCCAACACAGGGAGAATCAAATCTTCACCAACAGCAGCGCTACAGCCCGGATGAGGACATTTTAGAGACAAACATCCAACACAATCATTGCTAATCGATTCTCTTACATAAGCTGCCCAACATGCAATACAATAAAAATGGCCACATAAATCGGATCTAATACTATGATCACCGCTAGCATCACAAGTCTCGAAGCAAATTTCGCAAGTAAACGAACCAACACTTCGATCAACAAGTGGGACTTTCCTAAACAATCCCAGTTTGTTCCGAACATCGTCTTCCTCCTCAAACCACTTGTCAAATAACATGCTAACATTCCAATTGCAGTGGCGGAGTAAGATAATTGCCGAGGATCTCGATACGTGCAGTTTCGAGCACACCTCTGTCATATATTGTAATTGGCGTTATCTGCCTCTTTCAAAACCGTATATCGAAGCTTTGGCTGCAACAATGTCTATTGATATTCTCCCATAAATCCGTTCAAGTATTCAGCAAACTTAATGTTGTCATAATCGGGTTGCGCAAACCATCCATCTAGACTTCTCGATGGGTGGAGATAGCACGAAGAACTCGAAGAGCAACACGAATCCATGAAAAAAAATAACCAACGAAATCGGTATTTGTGAGAGCTCTCGAGTTGCGATTGATATCGAGAGAAGTGTGCGATAAGATTGGTAAGGGTTCAGCCTTTATAAATATAGGAATTGAATCCCTAGGCAACTAGGAAAAGCGAACCAAATTCCTTGCGTGAAAAGGAACAGAAACCCTAAAATTTTCGTAAATTAGGAGCAAACCCAAATCGTCTGAGGCGTAAAACGCACCGTTCCAATAAAACATTGCTACCTTAATTAGGAATTTAGGGCTTAGAGCCAAATTATAACACGATATATATATATATATATATATTATAACACACGTTACTATCTGCACTAAGGGGGAGATGTGTACTTAGCCTCACAATGGGCTAACGATGATGTGGTTCAAATTCGTATTTAGTGAGAATCTCTCACTTACAAGTTTAGAGAGACGTGTTATTGGTTTATTTTATAAAGGAATAAAACTTATCCATCTAGCAAATGATGTTATGATTTATTTTTTAATTGTTTTTGCATTTACAATTGAGGTATCTATCATACAATTCTTTTTCACTCTTTCATCTCATTCTTCGTATTTTTCCCTCTCTTCCCTTCTTCTTTCTAATTTTCTTTCATACTTCTTCTCTATCTCTCGCATACTTCTTGTTCTTTGCATTTCTCTCTCCTCCTCTTCTTTTTCACATTGTTCTCTAGATTTATGACATAAATCTAGATTTACCATCACTGTAGTGTCCTCTGGTAACAATATAACGTCATATAAACAAAAACTCTTGTCGTTGTATTCTTGATAGAAAATGATTTAGTTGTGTTGTGAATATAGTCTTAATGTTACATATATGAATGTATGAAGAAGCAAACCAAAATGGACTTTGGTGACAATAATTAAAAAATTTAGGTCAAATAGTAAACTTGGATGATGACATTTTTATCATGCAATTTTTTCCCATGGGTGTAAGACTTTCCCATATAAAGGGACGGTTGTAATGTAAAAATTATCCCATCTTTCTACCTACCTATCTTAAGCAAACAATTTTTTTTTTGTCAAATAATAGATTTTGTTTGATTACATGTTAGATTAGTCACCGACGGAGTTTGAGCCCACGCCGTCATATAAGGACTCTCAACATCTTTCCACTACTGTGGTAAATGACCACTTGCTCTTAGCAAACAATTTATGCTAACCTTTATTTTTCCCGTCACACAAGATCAAAAGTAGAAAGTGAATACCAATCTCCCTCGTCATTGTACTTGCACTTATTGTCTGATATAGTTACGAAAATAAACAGTTTGATACATTGCTCTCGTTCTACTTCAATTTCTAATAAAAATTCTCTTTCTAACTTTTGTCTATTTATCTATATTCATGCTACGCAAATCATTTACACATTTTTTTTTTTTTTTTGGAAACTACACATAATTTGTTTGAAGTACTGTCAATGTAGTAACTCAAGATACCACCACCGACGCATCATTCCAAATTTCCAGGTACAAAGTAGGTTATGTCCTCTCCAGGTCCACCCCCAAAACCGTAACTCTCACGCACTCGATAAAAACTTGTACATTCCAACCATATTCAGATCTCCGCCTTTTCTTCTCTCTCTCCTCCTTCTTCTCTCCCTAACAAGTCAGAATAAAATTAATAAACTGATAATAAAAAATCCGGCCACCAAGATTCCAGTTCATGCGAGTTTGCCATCGATTGCACTCCATTCCCAAGAAATCCAGAAAATGTAAAAACAAAAATGATTATTATTTAATTTATTTATTTATTTATCCAGTCAGCATATAAATACTAAATATATTTATAATATTATACTCTCAAGCATATGGATCTTCTCCGGATTCCTTCCATCAAATCCACCAATTCACTAATTCGGATCTTTGAAATTTGATCTAATGGTTAAAAACATGGAATCTTTTTAAAAGTTATAATAAATTGAGTCGTTAGATTAAATTTTAACGGTTCGGCTTGGTTGATTGAGTGGAAGGGATACGGAGTGAGGATCCCTTTCCGCGAGTGCATACTCCTAGTATCCTCTGACTCTGTCATTTACGCAAACACTTGGGGGGCCAGATCTCTCATCGAATTCCTGCCACCGGAAGCTTCTCTTCTCCGTCGCTGAAATGCTTAGCATATGGCATTTCTGGAAATTATTTGATTTCTAGATCAGAAGATGGCGTGGTTCGAGTTTGGGATGCTAGAACTCATAATATTCTTCGCCGGGTTTATGCATATTTGATGGTATTGAAGCAAATTTAGCTCTATTTGACTAGCACTATTTCATAATCCAGTTTATATTCAAATATCTCAGTTGTTTATGTTCAATCTGCCAAACTTTACTACTTTGTTTAGTATTTACATAAAAATTGCATTGTACTCTGCAGGTCCAGTGAATAATATTCTAGTCGTTGGACAGCATTTTTCTGAGAAATATTGTTCTGACTTCAACTGAAGACTTCAAACAAGTCTGGATCACTTTGCAATATACTACACACACAAAATTAATGTGCCTATGTCCAGATGATCTTCATTTAGCCCGCAAGTAATGGAAAAGACCATTCCGGTGAAATCTGTAATGCAACAGCCAACCTCTGGTTCTAGTAATGCATGCAGCTTTCTCTTCCTTTTTCATCTCACTTCCTCTAAAAAGAAAATGTGTGAGCCTTGCTTTCATTAGCAGCACTCGCAACAGTCAGGCGGGTAGGATTAACAAAAAAAAGAAGACTTCAAAATTTCTACGAAACATGCATGCATAAACTAAACACCCCAATTAATTTTGAGTTTACCTGTTTCTGTTTTTGCACTCTTCATTTTTGATGATTTTTGCAGCCGGCCAAAGTGAGCTGCAATGTAGTGGTTTCAGTTTATTTCACGCAACATTGTTTGTAAACCCTGTAACTGCTAGCAGCTAAATCAGACAACTTGAGGGTCTTGGTGAATCCAGTTTTCTGAGGTCTGCCGCCCTCCCAAAAGCTTGCTCGTGAAACTTTTTGCAAAATTCTGTGACTATAAACTGTTACTTTCTTGCAAATATGTTTTTGGAATGAAATAAAACTAGAGCATTGCAAATCATGATATTGGGAGAGGGGGAAATGAACTCGGGACCTGGAATATGGTCATCTGCAATTGTTTAGTTGGAATGTTGTAATTTGTTAAGTATAATAAAAGCTCAACCCCATAAATTGTTTAGTTGGAATATTGTAATTTGCCAAGTAAAATGAATAGAGTGAGTTGGTAAATAAATAGAAAAGAGCTTAATTACCAGAAGTGGAAGGCCTCTCAATTATCATGCAACAGTACTGGTTTGATACTGAGGTGGTTTTATAAAAAGTGGGTATAAAAAAAAGCTGAGCTCAAAAAAATGTTTGGTAAACACTTAAAAACAGCTTATTTTCACAGTTTTGAGTAAAAAAAAAACTGAAAACATGAAGCAGCAAAAATGAGTTTATTCTCATAGAACAACATAAGCAGTTTTTTTTCAAAGCACAGCAATATCAAACCAGCCTTAAACAACATCCTCAGCTTCGACTATGCCTTCACCCTCTCACCAGAAGTGGAAGGCCTTTCGGGTATCTCAACAGCATCTTCTGCCTCGACTATGCCTTCACCATCATTATCAAAATCAGAATCAAGTGGAGGTCTGATTTTGATGTTGGGGATGTGAGAAATCTTGGGCCACTCCTTTCCTCTGCCTTTTTGGCAACCTCGTACAAGACTACCACAGTGTATGATGACAAGTGTCTGAAGTGGTGGTTTCCGCAATAAGTCTGGCAGTGTTTTTAGCTGACGGTTGTACCCTATCTGTAAAGAAGAAAGGCAGGGCATTATGGTAATATGAGAATCCTCTTCCTTCCACTCTTCCACTCCTTTCCACTCTTCCCACGCCCTCATGTTCCTAACATAGAGTACTTTCAATTTTGGGAGTAGAATGCATGATGATGCTGATGACGTTTCCTTTTCTATTCCCAGAAACTCAACTCCAACCTTTTTTACTCCATTCATATGAATAAGCGTCAGTTTTTCGAGGGACGGTAATTTTCCCAAAGGAGGTAAAACTTCACATTCATTCCACCACACAAGATCAAGAACTCTCAAATTGTTTAATGACATGATCCAGTTGGGGGCAGTGCTTCCATTATGCCCTGTAATTTGTAAAGATTCCAAATTTGGATGCGGTTGTAAAAAATTCAGTGTTTCTGCACTACTGCTGCTGCTGCTGCTTCTTCCCACCTCATCTTCCCGATTTTCAGATTTTTTTTCTCCAATGAAACAATTGTGTCCAACCAACAAATTCTATTCTCAAATGTAAGAGTTGTTGTTTGTTCCCCAAGGGTAATGCTTTCTCACCCTCACCCGCAGCAACTTTCAAATCCCCATCAACCTCTATGGGGAGTAGACCCTGAAGTTGGTCCAAGTTTCTCAAATCTCCTAATTTGAATGCTTCATCGTTGTCTTTACCACTACCAACAGGGCACCGATCTAGTGTTCTTAGATTTGTTAATCTCCCAATCCCTTTCGGCAAGTACTTCAGCCGAAAGCAACCCCTAACATAAATATGCTTTAAGTTAATCAACTTTCCCATGCTCTGAGGTAGACTTTCAAGTACCCTACACCAATTAAGGCGCAATGTCTGCAAATTGTATAAATTACACACCGCATTCGGTAGCCTTTTCAAGTCATCATTATAGACAAATCAATAAACCTCAGATGCACCAATTTACCTATCTCTTTCGGAAGCTCTTCAATACAATTACCACTCAAATTTAATGTCCTCGGATGTTTCAACTGCGACATCAAAGTTGAGTCCACAACATTAAATTTTGAATCAAAAGTTGCAAGAGTACGCATATTGCAGCTGGAAAACAAAACACATGAGAGTGGACCCGTGGGAGCAAGCACTATGGTCAAATGTTGGATCTTATCACCCAAGGGCTTTTTTGTATTGTTACCACCCTTAACCTCCATTGTAAAGCATTCATTTTGAGTAAGAAACTGCAGAAAATCATGCACAATATCATGCATTTTACAACTCTTGATATTTCCCTCATCATCGTCTTCGAAGTCTTGGAAGAAATATCGCATTACTAAATATTGAAAAACTTTTGGCCAATTATTTCCATCTCTGTGTGTCTTTTCGAATAGAGATAATCTTATGACATCCACAACTCAATCAAATGATCTTTATCAATCTTATGATCTTTTGGAAATATAGCACCATATAAAAGGCATCGTTCCAAATCAAAGTAACTCAGTAATAGCGGTTTGAAAACGTCTTCCTCAACATTTTCTAGATCCCATATCTTACTGTTCAAAACTTCCTGTCATTCTTTCCTTGTTTTCTTGTTTTTTTGCATGAGACTACCCGGAGTCTTTGCAGCAAGAAGGCCCCTCTCTTCTTGACTGGTCTCCTTCAACAACTTGCTAACCAAATCTTCCTTTTGTTGTTCTCTACCAAATATGATAGATTCATCAACAGAAGAATCAGTTTCGACTCGCTCAGGTTGTTCAATGATAATTCTCTCCATGGATTGAAAGTTATATGTTTGTCTGCGCTTAGCAATCTTATCTAAACTTCCATTCAGTTTTTTCATCTCAAAAGCAATGTCACGATGGCGAATTACCCGACTGACTTGGCCGAAACAAAAGCAAGAGTAGGGAATAGAGAAACATACTGCCCTCTTATTCTTCTCAGTAACAAGAGAAGTACTTCCACCGTGCTCTTCTTCTTTCTCAACTTGTTGTTTCAGTATTTCAGTGTTCCACTCATCCAGCTCATTGTCCATCTTGTACGACACCACTGTCAGCTCCTCCGGCCAATTTCTGACCCTGGCCTCCCTCACTTGCCTCAGCTCCGCATCCTCAAGCACAGCACCAATCGCTTTAAGATTGGCCTCGAATTCTTGAACATCTTTCTCCGCATTCAAAACCAGCTTCACCTCTTCTTCGACGTATTGGTAAGTTACCGAAGCCAATTTTTCGAGCAGCACAGAAATGAGTGCCTCAGCCATCTTTCTGTTAGCAGTGGAAACAGAGAAAACCAAGAGATCTGAACTGAGAAAGTACAGGATCAAAGGTTGTGGGTATCACATCTGTTCTTCCCACTACTTGACTTAATGATGTTAGATGGGATGAGAGAACCGACAAATATTAAATTTGTAAGGTATAGGTGAGTCATCCGCATTAATTGTTCAACAAGTTGAAGCACAACCATTAATTGATCTTTTTTAACTCTTGTTTTGTACTAAGTTTAAACAAACAAATAAAGCAACAGAGATATGGAAACAAAACAAAATCTCTGTAATTAAGAATTATTACTCATCGTTACTTAGTATTATGATCTTGTGATAAGTGACAGATTTTAGGTTTGATTCTCGCAAAAATGAATTTAAATCACATTATTAATAACCTATTATGAGGCTTAACCTATTTATCTACCTATATCATTTGATAAAAAAAAAACCAAAAAAAAAAAAGAATTACTCCTAATTATTCTGCCAAAGCAGGGCTTCAAATCTTCTTTAGCAATTATTTGTACCCAAAAAATGCCCTCCTCTCATATTCAGACACATGTCCAAGTAGTTAACCATCCATGTCCAAGTTGTTATCCATCTCTATATCCAAGTAATTAACCATCTAACCTAACAGTGCTAAGAGACCACGTCAGCCACACGACTTGGTGACCGACACCCCCCTGGAGCACCAAGACTAAAGCATAGTCACAGCATAGTCACAGCCAGGAGAGGGGCACCACTTTCTCTTTCCCTTGCTATCTTCCACATAAGACCTCAAAAGGTACCGCGAATACTTGGCCTTATCGGTGTCACCATTGGCTTTGGTTGCCAACATAGAGAATCAAATCTTCACCAACAGTAGCGCTACAGCCCGGATGAGGACATTTTAGAGACAAACATCCAACACCATATCGATTCACTTACATAAGCTGCCCAACATGCAATACAATAAAAATGGCCACAGAAATCGGAGCTAATACTATGATCACCGCTAGCATCACAAGTCTCGAAGCAAATTTCGCAAGTAAACGAACCAACACTTCGATCAACAAGTGGGACTTTCCTAAACAATCCCAGTTTGTTCCGAACATCGTCTTCCTCCTCAAACCACTTGTCAAATAACATGCTAACATTCCAATTGCAGTGGCGGAGTAAGATAATTGCCGAGGATCTCGATACGTGCAGTTTCGAGCACACCTCTGTCATACATTGTAATTGGCGTTATCTGCCTCTTTCAAAACCGTATATCGAAGCTTTGGCTGCAACAATGTCGATTGATATTCTCTCATAAATCCGTTCAAGTATTCAGCAAACTTAATGTTGTCATAATCGGGTTGCGCAAACCATCCATCTAGACTTCTCGATGGGTGGAGATAGCATGAAGAACTCGAAGAGCAACACGAATCCATGAAAAAAATAACCAACGAAATCTGTATTTGTGAGAGCTCTCGAGTTTGCGATTGATATCGAGAGAAGTGTGCGATGAGATTGGTAAGGGTTCAACCTTTATAAATATAGGAATTGAATCCCTATGCAACTAGGAAAAGCGAACCAAATTCCTTGCGTGAAGAGGAACAGAAACCCTAAAATTTCCGTAAATTAGGAGCAACCCCAAATCGTCTGAGGCGTAAAACACACCGTTCCAAAAAAAACCTTGCTACCTTAATTAGGAATTTAGGACTTAGAGCCAAATTATAACGCTATATATATATATATATAGTTTTTTTATAACAAACGATATCATTAAGGGGGAGAGGTGAACTTAGTCTCATAATAGACTAATAATAATGTGATTCCAATTCGTTTGTAGTAAGAATCGAACCTTATACTTCTTACTTATAAGTTTAGAGGGACATGTTTTTGGTTTATTTTATAGAGGGACAAAACTTGTCCATCTAGCAAATGATGTTATGATTTATTTTTTAATTGCTTTTGCATTAACAATTGAGGTATGTATCATACAATTCATTTTCTCTTTCATCTCATTTTTCGTATTTTTTCCTCTCTTCCCTTCGTCATCCTAATTTTCTCTCTTACTTCTTCTCTATCTCTTGCATACTTCTTGTTCTTTGCACTTCTCTCTCCTCCTCTTCTTTTTCGCGTTGTTCTCTAGATTTGTGACATAAATCTAGATTTACCATTACTGTAGTGTCCTCTGCTAACAATATAACATCATATAAACAGAAACTCTTGTCGTTGTATTCTTGATAGAAAATGATTTAGTTGTGTTGTGAATATAGTCTAAATGTTACATATATGAATGTATAAAGATGCAGACCAAAATGGACTTTGGTGACAATAATTTAAAAAATTAGGTGAAATAGTAAACTTGAATGAAACATTTTTATCATGCAATTTTTTACCCATGGGTGTAAGACTTTCCCATATACCGGGAAGGTTGTAATGTAAAAATTATCCCATCTTTCTACCTACTTATCTTAGCAAACAATTTTTTTTTTTTGTCAAACAATAGATTTGGTTTGATAACATGTTAAATTAGCCACCGACAAAGTTTGAACACATGTCGTCATGCAAGGACTCAACATTTTTCCACCACTGTGGTAAAAGACCACTTACTCTTAACAAACAATTTATGCTAACCTTTATTTTTCCCATCCCACAAGATTAAAAGTAGAAAGTGAATACCAATATCCCTCCTCTTTGTACTTGCACTTATTGTCTGATATATTTATGAAAATAAACAGTTTGATACATTACTCTTCTTCCACTTTAATTTCTAACAAAAAATTCTCTTTTTCACTTTTGTCTATTTATAACTATATTCATGCTACCCAAATCATTTACATATAATTTGTTTGAAGTACCGGTCAATGTAGTAACTCAAGATACCAACACCGACGCATCATTCCAAATTTCCAGGTACAAAGTAGGTTATGCCCTCTCCAGGTCCACCCCCAAAACCGTAAGTCTCACGCACTTGATCAAAACTCGTACATTCCAGCCATATTCAGATCTCTGCCTTTTCTTCTCTCTCTCTCTCTAACAAGTCAGAATTCCAGTTCATGCGAGTAAAACGCTGCCGTCGATTGCACTCCATTCCCAAAAAATCCAGAAAATGTAAAAACAAAAATGATTATTATTTTATTTATTTATTTATCCGGTCAGCATATAAATACTAAATATATTTATAATATTCTACTCTCAAGCATATGCCAGTGTAGGAGAGGGATATTCTCTGTATCATTTTCATCAAATCCATTAATTTATTAATTTGAGTTTTCTTTAAAATTTGATCTAATAGTTAAAAATAAAAAAATTTTAAAAATTATAATAACTTTAACCATTGGAATAAATTTTAACGGTTCGGATTAGTAGATTGACGAAAAGGGATCTGGAGAGAGGATTCCTTTCCGCCAGTGCATACTCGCTAGTATCCTCTGACTCTGTCATTTACGCAAACACTTGGGGGGCCAGATCTCTCCTCGAATTCCTGCCACCGGAAGCTTCTCTTCTCCGCCGCTGAAATGCTGAGCTTTTGATCCGTTTTGCTGTGGATTCGAGCTTGATTTGATCGCGTTCGTCGTGGAAATGGACGGCGGCGATGGGACGATGAGGCTCGGCGCTCTCAACTTGAAGCCTGATCGGGTCGGCGGCTTCGAGTCGGGTCCCGACGTGTCGGTTTCGTCGCCGGTCACGCGGCAGAAGGCGGTGGCGGCAAAGCAGTTCATTGAGAATCACTACAAGAACTACCTTCAAGGTCTGCAGGAACGCAAAGAGAGGTACTTTGCGATTGCTTTAGCTTTTAATCCGTCAAAATTTGTATTGATTGTGATAGTGTCAGCTTGTTAGCAGTAATCCTAATTGGAATTCTCGAACTTCGTCTTCGATTTCGTGCACACAGTTCTGCTAAGGCTGCATTTGTGCGTTTAAGGTCGATCAAAAATGCTAAATTTTTCCCTTTTTTGCAGTCACTCTTTGCAAATTAATCACAGTTTCAGTTTTTCCTTTGCTGTTTATGTTTTCTGTTTGTCATTTCGAAAACTCGAGCAAGTGGAAGAACTAATT